AATCTAGATGGACTCTTGAGACCACAATAGTCAGTAGAACAGCAGTTCTCAATCTGTGGGTTATAACCCTTTCTGAGGTCCAAAGATCTTTTCACGGGGTTGCCTAAAGCCATCAGAAAACACAGGTAGTTACATTGTGATTCATAACAGTAGCAAAGTTATAGTTATGAAATAGGGACAAAATTATTTTATGGTTGGGGGTCACCAACAACATGAGGAACTGTGTTAAAGGGTCACAGCATTAGGAAGGTTGAGAATCAACCTGATGGTGTTGCAGCAAAAATCCAAAGAGTATAGATGAAAACTTAAAAGGGCAAAGGGCAACATTCAATGCAAGGATGAAAACCCTATATTGTTTGGCATCTTCAAGGCTAGTTTTGTATGGCATCAGCACTATACAGCAATTATGATTCAGATAATCAGTCTTGGCACCCCTTCTTAAAACATGCAGTAAAGTAGTTAGCAAGAGTTGATTTAATTCTTCCACTGTGAATTATCAGTGAAAAGTCTGATGCCTGCTACTGTATGCTTAAGGAAGTAGAAATAGTCATTCTTTTAAAGAATTTTTAGTTAATATAACTAAAATGAAGGTAGTTTGAGAACCTGGGTAACAGCTTCAATTCCTTTGAAAACTCACTTAGCTGGAGTTCCTTGTAACAAAGGCATGAAGTGAGTAGATATGGGTGAGAAGTTTTATTTGTAGTTGACTAGCCTAGCTATAAACAAGATTTTGACTCTGATTTGCTTACTATTAAATGAGAAAATGTGGCCTATAATTACTAGACCACACTGTTGTTGTGTGGGTGGACAATTGGATGATAAGCCTTTCTTGGCTTTGTGTCCAGGAAGCAGACATGAAAACTAGGAAATTATAAACCCTTAGATAATATATATCAGTGTTTTAGGAAAGCACAAATAGTCCTTAATTTTCACCATTCCTGGAAACCAAGTCATAAAGAAGTTTGTGTTTCCCACCGCAGAAGTGAAATAATTGGCAGTTATATTCCTAACCGAATATTCAGAATTAAGGACACCACAGATATCAACGGCAAAATGTCTTGGCAGTCAACTAAAAACCCTAGACTGGGGTGGAGACTGGGTGGGGAAAATAGGCTGATGTTTTGCTTTCTCAAAAACAAGAAAGTGTTGAACACAAAGCCAACAAAGATCAATGAATATCTCTCTCTCTCTCTCTCTCTCTCTCTCTCTCTCTCTCTGTGTGTGTGTGTGTGTGTGTGTGTGTGTGTGTGTGTGTGTGTGTGTGAAGATTTATGATAGTATTTTTTAAAATTCAGAAAATGAGTCCTGCTCTCAAGGAAGTGACACTTGGGTCAAGGAGAAAGGTTATGTAAACAGCTCTAATAAAATGTGGGTGAGGAGAGCCTTTATCCCGCAGCGGGTGGAAGCAAATGTGAAGAGTCACAGCCAAACAGCAGGCCAGGCTCAGGGTATCCTGCTGGAGAAGGAGGAAGGATTATAGGAGCCAGACGGGTCAAGGACAGATTTTCTCTCTACATCCCAACCCTCAACCCCTAACTTTACTCTAAGAGTCCTGTTCGGATGACTCAACCTGCAGTCTCCTCTGGAAGTGTCCGACACAGTGCAGTCTCTGTGTAGAGTCTCTGTCTCACCATGTCTGCATCATGGCAAGTTGTTCCCGAATGTCTTATAACTCACTAGATCGAAAACTCTGTAGAGAAGGAGGCTTCTCCCCTGTTTCCTAGAACTCACTCTGAAACAGCTAAGTAGCTGAATGATTTCCTAGGACTACGAAGAAGCATCCATCTCTGCCCTACCTTATCTACCTGCCTCTTTAATGCAAGGCTCACACCTTTCTCCTGAAACTGTTAAATCAAACTATGACAGTAAGAGAAGTACACACTGTGGTCATTGCTACAGATATGTTCATGTTACCAACCTTTGAAGTCACAAGCCAGAGAAACTGCTTTCAACAGTTTAGAACAGTTACTTCGGATTACACATTTAATTCAGGCGTGTTGAGCACTTGGTACGGTGATGATATCTTTAGCTCAGAGGAACACCACGGATGCATTTACAACTGCACAATGTGAATTTACACACTGACGGTTTTCTTCATGTATCATCTCATCCCTTTTTCACATCTTCAATGATTTTTGATGGTGTCTGCTGATCCCAGGTATGTTATTTCTGCCAAAGTAACATGTTAAAATAATAACCTCTCATCAGTATTATTTTACAGTAGAAGCAGCTTACCATAAGGAGAAACAGTCTCCAGTGAAGGAATATTTATTCAAATAGAATAAGTTTACTTTTATGAAAAATTATAGGCTAGTTTCATGCCTACGAAAACTCCCAGTGTTGAAGCCATGTGTCCTCCCTCACCCTCAAGGCTTGGATCAAGAACTTCAGCTTGAGAGCTGAAGATGGCTCAGCAGGTCAAGGCACTTGCTTTGTAAGTCTGATGGTCTCAGTTCATTCCCGGAACCAATGCACAGGAGAAAGAAGAGCTCTAACTTTGCACAGTTGTCGTCTGGACTGTACAAATGCACTGGGTCATGTACTCACACACATAGCATGCGTATACACACAACATAATAATAAGTTTAAAAAGATTTGAAGAACTCAACTTGAAAGCAACATCCAAGCCCTTCAGCACCACCGCAGCTTGCCTGAGTGGTGCCTGCATCTCCCTTTGTTATGACCTCAGATTCAGGAGAGATGGAGCATACCAACACTTTCCCAAAAGGCTGGGGTTTGGGTTTGGCTTGGCTCGGCCCCCATTTCCTTTATTCCCTTTATTTCTCAGAGAGTTAACAGGGCCTTTGTAAGCTACACCTCTGTTCTTGTCACATTGTGTCACAATTTGGGTTTTCTCTCCCTCTGTACTTGGAGCTCGCACACTGTAGGAATCTAATCTGATTGTTGAATATAACTGACCCCTCATGATAGAGAAACTGGCTCACTAAATTAACGGGGGAACAGAGTTTGATTAATAGTTTTGCAGAATAAATGTTAATAACATAACAATCATTCTGAAGCACAATTATTAGGTTCTTGAGTCTTATTTTAGTGAATAAACAAATTCAATATCTACTGCTCTCTGTTTGCAACTGATGTCACAAATTAACAGAGCTAGAGGTCACATGATCCCAAAGAGGCCATTGCCCTCCTCTGAGAGCAGTAAAAATAATAGAGTCCCGTCAATTACAACACTGGCTAAAAAATGTCAGCCCACTATATTAAGTTCCATTTAGAGTTACAATACTTTATTTACTTTGGGTGGTCCCACTAATTAGTAAAATCAAATAATATATATTTAACAAACAAATTGGTTAATTTTGGCAGAACAATCGGTATCCAGGTTTCTGAAGCTGGAACACTAACCTTCAGCATTCTGCTTAGAGCCAGTGGGCGGGAGAGAGGAAGGGGAGAAGTAAGCTGCTCAGTGATCTCCTACAGCCGAAAACACGGCCTGGCGTTTTTTCCTAACAAGTTCCTCAGATACACCCAGCTTGACCAGAGCTTGTCCAGACTCGATATCTTCTCAACCTACCAATCAAGATAACATGAACAACATGCAAATTGTGATTTGCCTCCCTCTCTATTCTGTGACTTCTCCATTCTCAGCTTATCTTAATTATATACATCCTCTTTATTTGAATTCTTTAATTAAATATCATGTCTGGAATCTCACTGGATGCATTTGTAAGTGCCTGCCCAACCCTGTACTTGTACCCAGGTCCTAGTACTGGCTTTGAGGTCACTGTGTAAAGAAAGCATAGCCATCTCTAACTGTGGAGAATTTATTACTCGTAAGGAAGACAAATAATGAATAAAACAATATGCACATAAAATTTCAGACAATGGTAAACGCTATGAGGACGAGATGTGAGCAATGGAGCAAAGCCTCACCAGGGCGACAGAGCAGACACACTTTAGAAATAGAGTCGGAGAGGGAGGACACTTTGGATCTCACTCCTGAAAAAACAATCATTCCTCCCCACACACTCAGAGTGGCTCAAAGGCATTGGTTAATCAGAATGTCTCCAGCGATAAACCCCTCTGGGAGCTTTAAGACAAAGTGCAGTGACTTCAGTCTAGAAAGTGCTCTGTAAGTGACCATTACCTAATTAAATTTCCTTCCATGCTCACTTGGAAGTGCATTCACTAGAAAACCACTGACCTGATCTACTGATCCCCTAACAATGGGGAAGAAATATTTTTCCTCATCAAAGATTTCCCCCGAAGGACCGGCGACTACCTGAAGACAGTCTTTCTCCCAAAGTGCTCTCCACCCACTGGGGTACTGTCTGTTGACATCCAACAGCTGTTGTTCATTTCTGAACACTGATCCCTGTGGTGTGTCCTTTGGGTGAGCAAGCCCACGCTCAGGCTCTCTATAAAATATTCAAGACGATTTGGACTCTCCTATTTTTCCATTGACATTTTTACCCTGCCTTTGATCTCGACTTGATTTTACTTTTCCTCTGCTCGTCCTCCACTGTTTCACTTGTTTCTCTCAGCAGACCTTTTCCACCCCTCTCTGTATGCCACACAGCATCAGCCACTTGTTCTCAAAGTTAGAAAACTCACAGAATTCAAGCAAACTCCTTTTTTTTTAAAGAAAAAAGTCCAGGTACTAGCATTGTTTTATTAGAAAATAAAATTTTTTAAAGGTCAATTCTATTTTTTTAGGAAAGACATGCTTTTCCTATCTAGGAGCTCTCAAAATTTATACTTCCTGAGGCTTACAACACCCCCTGACCTTTGAAGTATGGAGTTTAAATCAAAGATATTCAAAATAACCACATATATGTATACTCCTCAAGCACCATTCATTCCAAGGAGTAGAAATAACCCTCAGAACAAATGACAATTCCACAATCACCTATCGCCCACAGATATGTGAGGATGAAGTATTAGCAAGGATTCAGTGAGTTTCCTGGAATACTGAAATCTACCTGGAAACTAAGGTACGATGTCTTCCCCAGCCAGCCCGAGTCCAGCTTACCCTCCTCTGGTCAAGTCTGACAGGAACGTTCTCTCCCCTCATGCCATTTTGGTGGCTGACATTTTTAGTCAGTTTGTCCCCCATGTGAAACCTGCAGCCATCTGGTTTCTTGGGAAGAGAATTTCCTTGGCATTTTTGACTTTCCAGATGTTGACGTTTCTAGCAGACAAACCAAGGGACTGGGGTAGAGGCGTGGTTTTGAAAAGGTTTGAAATTTCAAGAGTTTGGAGGAATCCAATTATTTCTCTAACTCATCCCCAGTGCCCTCCATCCAGATTTTCTGAACAGCTGACATTTTCGGAACGGTTCCTGTGAAGAGCTCAAAGGACACAAACTTCTTTACTGCTTTTTTAAAATTATTATTTCACACAGCACAAGCAAAAGTACTGTTTTTCTAAATATTCCAAATCTCCTGCCCTGTGACGGATGGATTCATCAGAAGCCATGTACTGATGGATGTCACTGTTGTGTCCTAAAGAGATTCTTTTGCCTTCAGTCTAGATGCTCTAACACAAAGTTCAAGAGAGAGGATGAACCGAGAACCCCGGGGCCAGGCCACATCCAGTTCCTTTCCCTTCAATCCTAGTCACTTTGAGCAAGTCAACTTTTTTCCTGTGGTCTCTGCTCCTGGCAGAAATGGAATAAAAAGATTTTTGATGCCAACCCTAAATTCCTTTCTTTCAACTCTAATTTCCCTTCCCACTCAAAAATTATGATATATTTGTTTCTTGAAAATTGTCATTGAAAAACAACAGACAAAGAAATAGAGACGAAATAAGTCACCCGTATGTAGCTCAGGCCTCTGCGCTACAACTCAGGACAGCTGGGTTCATTCACGTCTCACGGGGAAAGCATTTATAGAACTGTCTGAATCTACTTCATATTACTAGGACAGAGTATCACAGCCTGGATACTTAGAAAAAAGAATAAATGCATTCCTAACAGTTCTGTAGACCGAGAAGCCCAGCATCCATGCCCTGTCTGGGCAGGGCTTTCCTTCTATGGGATCCCATGGCAGAAGGCAGGAAGAAGGGAGGGTAGGGAGAGAGAGAGAAAGTCTAATTTATCCTTCTGTAAGAAACCCACTTCCTCCATATGACAAAGTCACTTCCAAAGTAATGGCATTGCCCTCCTTATGTAGTAACTCATGTCCCAAGGGTGTGACACCGTCACCTCACAAAGGTCCCACTTCTCAGCACAGCTGCACTGGGCTTTCCATTTCCAAAACATGGAATCTGTAGAAGAGACCCACACCAATCCCAAGGGCAAAGCTCTCATGGTACACAGTGCACAGCCTCCACAGAAGCCTGAGAGACAACCAAATTAAGATCTACCTAATTCAGACATTCAGCTCTCTCAGTCACCAGAAAGTAGTTCCAGCTAGGGAGACTCAGACTGCGGTTCTCTCCCAGGAAGCATCTCGGTTCTGTACGTAGTGTGGTAGATCATGGAGACCAACCAGGGCAAGGCATCTCGGCTCTTCCCACCACAACACAGTGAAGTTTGTGCAGCAAACACTTCCTGCAGCCTCCCTCAGGGCTGCCTCCAGATCAGCCCTGAACTGCTACATTCTGGTTCTGTCCTTGGTACAAAAATCCTATGTTTCCAAAGCTGGCATTAACCAGCCATGAGGAACACATTGCAAAATAGCTATGCTCTGGGCAGCTGTGCAAGCTGCAGCCTTTAGATCCAGTGTGAGAAAGCCTGGAAAGGCCTAGGCCCCTTGAAATGCCCTCAGCAGAGAATGCAGTGGGGTCAGCTCACACGAGGCCTCCCACCTGCCTGCCTCACGCTGGTCCATCTGGCCTGACCTCTGGCTTTGCAATGTTTCCCAGCTTTGTTCACGCTGCAGACTGAATTTCATTAGCATGCAGAAGCCTCTCCTACATTATTAATCAAGATGTGAAGTAAGATAAAACCTAATCCTCGGTTCCTCAGCTAGGAATGCTCAAACCCAGGCTCATTATATCTGTCAACCATGGATTACACCACCCTTAGGCCCCAAATTGATTGGGAAGTCAAAAGGAGAGGGAAGAAGCATTCGATTGTATACTATATTCAAAAGGAGGGGCTCAGTTTAAGGTGTGGCTAATTTAATCTATTCGAGGGTAACTGCAGACTATACAGTTTCACAGATTCTTTTCTCCTGTTGTTAATGGCAGCCAACAAAGTGGTAAAACCGATGCAGGGAACCATGTGTGTGAAAAACTAAAAGCCATTGAACAGGAATCACGCAAGATGCCACTTTGGAAACTAGCTTGGTGAATTCCTGCGTGCATGCAAACACTATTTTTCTGTGTTGGAAAGAAAAAACCAGACAACAACACACATGTATTGAATTCTGCTCAAGGGCTTCAAGTCCCACTTCACTGAAGTTCTTATCTGGCGCCCTGTCATTAGCATCCTTTGTAATTACAATGATCTTTTTGAGCCCAAAGATCAGAGCTGACACGCAGGCAGGTCTTCGCTGTTAGGGATCTGAGATGGATGGAAAGCTTTCCCAAGCCCGGAAGCGTACTCCTAACACGTCGCTGGAGGAACCACGCAACAGGGGTGTTCCTGGCCCCCAATCTGATGCCATGTGTTGGTGTTTTGTCAGGCTTCGGCCGTGCATGTTTATCTATGAATCCGAAAGCCCTGCTAACTCTGTCGCATCGTGAATTAGTCCTCTCTGCTGAAAGTTTCTGGGTACTAGTTACATTCTAAACACATCTGAAAGGGGTTAGGGATGGGAAAAGTAGAATTAAATAAATTAATTGTTTTATATTAAGAAAATGACCAATGTGTGTGTGGGGGGGAATCAAATCCAGGAGATTTATAATGAGAACCAGATGAGGACGTGAAAATGATTTGACATACTCAAGAGCTGCAGGAGACTCCCAAGATCATGGTTCAATACAAAAACACCTAGCAGCTCAGCAGCCAAACCCAAATGGCCGCATTTCAAAACCGTCACCTGTGTTCCTAAGTTGTTGTCATTCTTGGAACTTAGAGAGGACCAGGAGGCGCCCCCATCTCTGCACAGTCTGGGGGACTCTTATTCATGGACGACAATGGACACAGGCACAGGGACTCTTATTTATGGACGACAATGGACACAGGCACATAGGCATGGCCAGTTTTGTGTTCTGTTTCCAATCCCCCTCGCCCCTCCCCACCCCTGCCTGCCCTGTTCTATTTAAATTCCGCGTGCAGGAGAGGAAATGGCTTCTAAGATACTAGAATTCTGTTCTCATTGACTTCCTTTCTGCTTTGTGGCTCCATTTCTATTCAGATCAGGTTGCACAGGCTTTGACATTTCCGAGTCTAAACTTAAGTTAGAGCAACTGCATGTAGCAAAGGGGAAAGCAGGCTGAAACTTTCCAAAAAGCCAGGCACGTGGGGTGACTTTCACTGTGTGAATCAAGATGTTAATTTCATGCTTCAGACTTTTTGAAACTATTTTGAATTACAATTTTTATTTCAAAACAGGGGCTAATTTGGAGCAAGACTCCTGTTAAAGACCTGTTAAAGTCTCCAAAAAATCAGCTTAGCCTGGGTTTACTTCACAAGGAAAATTATGTCTCCCAACCTTCTTTCTCCTGGGTCCAAATCATGCTTTGCCTGAATCTCAATTCAACAAACGAATCTTTGTCTTATTCTCGTATGGACCCTTTATCTATCACTTCCCCCAATCCAGGCAATACGGCATAGAAAAATGGAGCTGACCATTGCTTGAATATTCCCTGTTGCTTCCCCAGCTCCATTCCCAAAGAAAAACCGAGACGTTGACTTTGGGGCATCATAGTCTGCTCACAAGAATACACCTTGTCCTGCACCCCTCCCAAGAAACTGCTCTGGCTATACTATTACAGCTCTAATAATTAGTACCTCTACCATGTTTATGGTTCATAAAGCTTTGTTGCGTCTTCATAAGAGCCATGTCAAAGAAGGAGGGCAGGTTTTGTCTTAGCTACATTTTTATAGATGGGCTTTCACTCTAAGACACTGCATGATTATCTCAGATCACACACCTAATGAGAAGGAAAGGCAAGGCTCCAATTCAGGTCTTCAAGCCGCGGTCCTGTTTTCCTTCCTTCACTTGCTGTGTACAAAAGTAATTCCCTTTGTTGAAAGCTGGGTCATTCTCAGGAGTTTCTGTTTTCTTGGTGCCTCAACTTCATCCCACGTGTCCATGGACCATAAAACGCTTGAGGAATTCATTCAGGCATACCTGCACATCTAAATATCTTAACTCTCCCCTCGGATCTAGGGAAGGTTTTGTTTTGTAACCTATGGGTTTCAATATGACTATGGCTTATGGAGTTCCTAGAATCAAGGCATAAGACACAATAAAGAAACCCAGTCTCAGTATGACCAGTGCTGATCAGAACCCTTTCAGTATGTGGCAATTCTATTTCTATATTTGTTCTTTGCTGTCTGAGCCTTCGAGGGCAAACCCCCAATGCAACAACAAAGATGAAAATGATGGTTTTTTTCTAGTGGTTTCATAGTTTCAGGTCAGGTCGTATGTTTAAATCTTTATTAATGCTTTGGGTGGTTTACTATGTAATATAGGGTTCAATTTCATTCTTGTCTTGTTTCTCAACAGTTTGTTGTTAATGTATAGGTCTTCTACTAATCTGTTTTGTGAAAATGGGTATCCTTATTATATTCTTGACCTTAGAGGAAAACTCATTTATTTTTAATATTAAACTTGATATGAGCTCTGGATTTGTCAGATGGAGTCTTTCTTATGCTGAGGCACGCCCACTCTACACCTAATATGCTGACAAAGAATGTTGGATTTTGCATGCTTTCTCTGCATCTAATGAGATGCAGAACATGGTTTTGTCCTTCACTATGTAAATGTAGCATGTCACGTTTATAGGATTGGATGTGTTGAGTCCCCTTTCTTCGCTGAAGTAGAGTTTGCCTGATCACAGGGTGAGTTGATCTTTTGCTACTGGATTCAGTTTGCTAGCATTATGGTGATGACTGAGACTCTTACATTCTATGTAATACTTATTTCTGGGGTGGGGGGAAGCAACTGTATGCTCTGTCAAATGCATCTGAGTTTTTCAAAGGGTCCTTACAGAATAACAATCCAATTAGCTTAGCAGAGAATATGAGCTGATATAACAAAAACTAACAAATTATGATTTGCAGTGAACATATGTTAATTTTTTCTTTCAAAATTCCAGAAAAGTGTTGGTGCCCACATTGCTTTTATTTAAATCTCATAAGCTATGACTAGTCTTGATCCCAACATTCCATAACCTGAGGCAGGAGGACACAAGTTTGAGTCCAGCCTGAGTTATAGAATGAGA